TATCTATATCACCCATTTTCTATGTTCTCAGAATTTGCGCAACACACAGTTTTCTTTTCCTGTGAATACCTTTTCCTAAAGCTTTCCTTTCATCTAGATCAGCTAAGTACTTGGAAGGAACTCTATGTTTTATATTTGTACCACTTATCAGTAATGACTAACACAAATAACACATATTAGAACTTGACTTCAAATTGCAGCAGTTATGTAACTAGTGCTTAGCACCAACAAGTAACACCACTCCCAAGTGCTTTTGAGAAATAAACAATATCTGTCTTGTTGGATTGTATATCTTCAGCATTTGTATTGTTCTCTGACCCATAGGAAATGATTATGGCAAAGGAAAATTCACAAATGAGTGAATTTCTTGACTGTTTGCTCTCTCTTCTTTTTTACACTGCTGCCAGCTTACTCACTCAGCATTTGTCACCTAGACTATTTTGAGAGCTTTCAAGTGGACTTCTTAACTTTCTTTCTCAACTTAAACTATGATTCTAGCTTACAAATTTGCTAAGCTTTTTTTTCCCCGTTTAATCTCTCTGTTTTCTCACAGATGTATTCCTCCTGAAAATATATTATAAAGGACACTGAGATATTTCCTGACTGTGGAAGTTCATGATCTCATATAGATGAGAGTTTTGTGTATTAGTAATACTGAAAGAAAACAAACTGCTGTCAGTATAGAGAATGAACTATCCTTGACAAAATTCAGAAATATCAAAGATGAGATCTTAGAACTAAAGGTTTAGATTTGGCTTTGAAATAAGGGTAATATAACTTTCCTAATACTTACATTTGGTTGGATATAGATGGCCATGTTACATCCTAGCTTTAAAAATTCAAACATAAATTATCACAGTCAAGACCAAATCTAAATTCAGAAGCATACAAATTCTTGTAGGAACTGGTATCTGCATATTACATCCTAGCATCATCTTCTGGTATTTATTTCTATTTTGTATTACTACAACAATATTATCATTCCTTTATCTCACTGTTTCATTCTGTATCTACTCCTAATGACTGCTATGTTTCTGTGGTAGGCAATTTCAACTTGAATTCCCTCTTAAGACTTGATATTTGACAAACTAAGTAGAATTTCTGTTGTTTTGTTCCTTTAGTATCACATGTATTTTCTTTTTGGCTTTTCTAGACAGGGTTTGTAGATCAGGTTGGCATCGAACCCACAGAAATCTGCCTTCCTCTGCCTCCCGAATGCTGGGATTAAAGGTGTTTGCCACCACCGCCTAGCTAGATTCACATGTATTTTCTTCATAACACTTCAAGTCTGTATATATTTACCTAACTGTGAAATCACTTGACTATTATTTAATTCCCCAAGTAAAGTGTAAGCTATAAAATTGCAAGGCTCAGGGAAGAATAGATGATTTGACAATTAAGAACATTTGATGCTCTTACAGAAGACCTGAGACCTGAGGTTCCTTTGCAATAAACATACAGTGACTCACAACATTCCATAATTTCAGTTTCAAGGAATCTGAAGTCCTCTTCTAGCTACCACATATACCAGAAAGACACAAGGTGAATATATATACATGCAGGCAGGCACTCATACACATAAAAATAAATTTAAAATAATTACCAACCTGTCGACTCTTTGTTGCCATTGCATGGATCTGACATGCATCACGATAAAGTATATTAGTTTATCTCCAAATAAATTTAATCAAAGAGTATACTTTTTATCATGTATGTACTTATTTTGATTACATAAGCCTTTATACATGTTTCTTTTCTTTGCTACATTTAAAAAATGATACTGATGCAATTACACCTATAGAAAGATGAAACAACAAAAAATATTTGTGGATTTGCAAATTTTTCTACAACTATGAAAAGTTAAGTACAAAATCTTTAAAGATTTTTTTTTTTAATTTTTCGAGACAAGGTTTCTCTGTAGCTTTGGTGCTTGTCCTGGAACTAGTTCTTGTAGACCAGGCTGGCTTCGAACTCACAGAGATCTGCCTACTTCTGCCTCCCAAGTGCTGGGATTAAAGGCATGCACCACCACCGTCCAGCTTAAAGATTTTCTGAATGATAATGAGCCAAATTAGATTCCAAAATAAACTGTCATAAAATAGGAAATTCATTTTTAAATGGTAGCATCCATTAATTAATAATTCTTTTGATGAAACTCTTTAATACCCCTTTTCTGATAAGCAGGTAGCAGAATGATGTAGCTACTGAGAGACTTGTATGCAAATTATGTTTTGCCCCATATTTCATGTAACTTTGGTCACATTTATTGTCTTAGCTTTCATTATTTCAATTTTTAACCTTATTTAATTAATTATATGTATTATGTGGAATACTTTTGAGAATTATAAAAGATAATGTCTACCACTACTTGGGACAGGGAGGGAGGTGATGATGAAGGGTATTCTATAAATGCTTAATTATTCCAGTTATTCCAATGGATGTCTATTTTGCCATTGATTTGTCTGATCACATGTGGCCAAAATTCAAATAGTCATATGGCCTGTTTCTTGTGGTTTAAATATACCATCAATTCTAAAATTCAAAATTCACTGAATCTGTAACTTGTGCCACAGTAGATCTGCCTTTCTGGATTCCTGCTTTTCTAAGTAATGATAAAAAGTTAATTATGTTGCACTTTCTACTGCTGTAAAGCACTTGCAGCTATAAAAGAATGCTGTTGCTTCATTTCTGTTCACAGTTTCAATTAACTGATGTTAGAATAAAAATACATGTTTGCAATGTGGAAGGGGCAATGTATTATTCAGCCTTTCCTGTTTGTAGCTGCTTATTAGTATGCTCCACATGTTTGCCTTTCTTCCACTTCAAATGCTAATTTTAGAGTCCCATTTTCATTATCGAACACCTTTAGGAAAAATTGTAACAGTAAGTATGACAGACATCTTGAGTCTGTCATGTTTCCCTCTTTCTTAATGAACTTGTTCTCATGACAAAAAATTTTAAATTCATACTTATTTTCAAACAATATCTTCCTTATAAAAATCAGTGAATTGCTCATTTCATTAGTTATCACTAGTTTCAGTTAACTTTCAGGCCACATAAACTGAAGGAGAAGTTGAGGATTTAAGCAGCTTTCTAAATAAATGTTACATTTGTAAATATTTAACACTAACATTTTTCCAGTTTTCAAGCAAAACTCATAGTTTGCTTAAAATATACAGGTACTATAATTGAGGTCAAAGAAGTCATCTTTTTGTTTGAATCATGTAGATAATTGCTTCAATTCTCCACTTCACTTTGTGTGAAGTAAGTAATTGAGTGAAATTTCAACTTAACATTTTACTGAAAAAAAAGTCAAAATGAATGTTGATTATCTTTAAGCCAAAACAAGTAGCTAATTGCCTGAAATTACCAGTTGCTTGGTCGTGCAACCTTGGTACATTTAGTCATATCTATAATGAAATTGGAGAAAGAAAAATAAACATCACTTCAGTATGCCTACCCTAGCTTTCAATCACATGCACTCGATGAGTTAATAGCACACTAAAAATGGCCACTTTTTTCCGATTTCTGGTTTTATCTCTTAAAATAAATGATTAAAGAATTTATGTCTATATAGAATAAAAATTATAGCATCTTAGCGGCATAATTTATCTCAACCAATTGTCACAAACATCTGTTTTGCATACAGAGAAAAATTATGAAAGTAGAAATCTAAGTACAAACAAGAGTAATCTGGTAAGACAGAAAGGTGATTGTTAACTAGAAATATTTTCACATATTTTTATTTTGCATGAACACAGTCTTGGAAGTTAGGATAAACAAATGAAATATGTGTAGGCATACTGGAAACCAGGGGGCGGGGGAAGGTTGGTGTTAAATATTTACAAATGTAAAAGAGGTCTGGGAAATCTTAAAGTCTATGAAGCTGTTTAAAAACACCCGAGGGCAAATGCTATCAAAATTATAATGAGAAACAAAATGGATGTTTAGGAATCCAATTTTCCCCTTTGAACTGGTGAATGAACCTTATTTAACAGACTTATACTACTTAAAAGGCTTTCTAAAAACCTACTAATAGACTGTCCACTTTGCTATATGACCATTCTGTACTAAAATCATTTCATAATGGTAGCTTTTTGTTTAATTCTGACAGAGCTCAAAGAGGAAATTTTTCACCTATATTTCAAATAATAATAACTTTTCAGTGTTTTGAAGTGAGAACTATGCTATGGTAAAAATCATCTTCTGACTTGCTGTACTGTATTAGTCATCTCAAGACTTATTTGAGAGGAAATGTTTAGCGGCTGTTTAATCTATTCCTTCTACCCTTATTTAATATCTCTCCAACTCTTTGAAGACATGATTAAGTTAACCCTTCAGATCTTTTAATTGAATTTTATAAGGACATTTTTTAAAAATAATTTCTAAGAATTTAAAAGGAAACACTTTGGCTTGTTTTCCCTATACTTTGCCCAAATACTCCATATATACATAGATAGGTCATAGATGCAGAAATTGAGCACGTTACTCCTTATGAAAGGCACAATAAAAACTTAGATACAGAATATGTCAAGACTATATCACACACATACACACACACACAAAACCATATTCATTGTTTGTGATAGTATGACATTCTATCATTCTATTATTGGCATGTCTGACCTATACTTCTTAAGGGCTCTACACAATTATTTGTTATATTTATACATAACCAGTTTAGGACCATCTTGTATTTATTTCTGTAATCTGGTATTACTCTGGATTTGAGTTTGCCTTTAATAGACTTTGTCATGTTTATTTTTACCCACATCAGCTTGTCAAAGTTGTTTGGAATCCCAAACTTAACCCATTACCCCAACCCCCAGCTCTGAAAAGGCAGAACTGATTGAACATGTATAAATTCTTTAAACAAAGTCACAAATGTCATACTGCTCTTTGCACACAGTCATGACCCTGAGACATTCTACATTGCTCACTCTTCTGCCATTTAGTTATAGCCTAACAAAACTCAACACCATATTTCTATAGATTTTTACCTGATTTTTGGATCGTCGACGACATTCAAACAATGGAAGGCAACAACACAGGCTCAAGTTAGAGTTGACCCTACGGCCAGATGTTCTACGTCGTGTCCTTCTAGAATTCATCATGCCTCAAAGTCGGTGTAGTACAATCTGAAAAAAAAAATATGACTTGGGGTGAAACAGTGAAAGAACTGGGGAGCATAGCAAGCAGTTTAAGACATGAGGAAGGAAAGGGCACAGGGTGGGAGAAGTTCTCAAAATTTGAAATCTCACCTTAATCCCTGCTCTTTAGAGATTCTGTAGTATATTTTCTAAAAATACAGCAACTCATAAGTTGCATCTTTTCTTAGAAAAGAGGGAGAGAATGAAGAAGAAATGTTGAATGACAGCCTAACCCCTACAAACCTAGCTTTAACATGTCCCTCAGACTCAGAAAAAGAAAAGAGGCCACATTATTCCCTCTTCCTCTATTTTCTCCTGGGACATTCATTTACCCTTTCTTATTTAAATTCCTGGCATTCCCATCTCAGAACTGTCTCTATCCCTGGGCAGTTCCTGCCATAAATATACTCTTCCACCCGGCTCAGACCTTCTTGGCCACCAGCCAGTTGGCTAGTTTCCCTCTACCAATAACTAGATTTTCTCTAACTATACAGCATTTAGATGTTACAAATATCAATATGAGTAATCAATTTGAATGTTGAACCCTACTGACAACATCTAGTATATCATTAGCATTAAATGTATATTGTCTTAATAAGCCAGTCTATTACTTTATCAACATACAATAGTGTCAAGGACATGAATAGATTGAACTATTACCCAATTTAAAACATACTTGGAACATGGCATCATAATACATGCCTATAATTCTAATACTCAGAAGGCTGAGGCAGGAGGATTAAAAGTTTGAGTTTGACCTGGTCTACACAGTAAAATATTGTCTCCAAAAGCCCAAGGGCTAGGGCTATAGATCAAAGGTAGAATATTTGGCTAGAATGCACAAGATCCTATACTTGATCTTCAGCACTACAAAAAAGAAATAAAAAAGGAAACAGTGTTTGAGAGTTTTGTTATGCAATAGAGATGTAGGTACATTAAATTGTAGTCTAGAACAGTAAGACAGACCACAAGTTTAATACTAAAATGTTTTACTTCATCTTTCCTTGTGTTTCTTTCTTTCCCCTTGCTTTTTAATCTTGAGACAGGTTCCTACTATGTTGGTCAGACTGGCCTAAAACTCACAGCAATCATCCTGTCAGCCTCTCAAGTGCTGATATTAACACTGTGAACCACCACCCCCACTTAAATAAGAGAGGTTTATATTCTATTTATTTATTTATTTATAATTTGTAATCTGCTGATATCTTTTTTAAAAAAGCTTCAAAGCAGCTGACATTTCATTGGAGATTGTTATAATCAATCATGTATTAAATATTTTAGCTAAAATGTTTTAAAGAAAATGATTTTATAAATTTTTGCTATTGCTATATTCATCTAAATGACTGCAAATAACAAAACTTATGATAACTTTCATTATTTTAAGGAATTATTGGTGGTGAGAGGGAATGTGAAAAAACTTCTGAAAGGCCAGCCTTCATTGTAAGGATAGTATAAATGACAAAACCTTTTCCTCCATCAACCTAATGTTTGTTTACCTCCCTCCTTCACAAATATCTCCAATAATGTAAAGTAATAGAATAAAGGCCTCCCCCATTGAAAACAAATACTGTTATGATTGTAAGATGGTGCCTTTTCACCTTCATTCTTCAAAGTTACTCTTTGAGCACATTTCATTACATTAGCTGATAAATTCAATTACCAAAGCCACTAAATTTGTGCTTATTGGTAACTATGATCTAACTTAAGAGTTAGCTTTAAGATTTGTGGCTTATAGGAGTTTTTAGATTCAAAGATAAAAACTTAAGAAGAAAAATGTGTTAGATGTTTGTATACATGTCATTAAATCCTCAAAATTTTACAAAGCAGGCATCATCACTCCTACTTTCAAATGAAAAACCTAAATACAAAGAAGTGTCCACAGATAATTTAGTAGCATAACTCAAACTATAATTGAAATTTTCCAAGTCCAATGGCTTCACCTCTCTCACTTCTCCAACTGTATTAAAGGAGAAACAAAATGAAGACAGGTGCACAAAACTAGAAATTATTTTCCAATAGAACAACTCCCCATTCTTCTCAAAATTTTCTAGTTTTCTCTAAGAAGAAAACTAAGTTTCTCTTCAGTTAAAAAATAATTTTACATACTTGAGGTTCAGTTAAATAACTTATGATCATAAATTTAGGATGAGCTATACATTTTTGATTCAGAAATAAGAGCTAGACAAAAAGAGGACTTCCAAGGATGAAGGCTTAAACAGTGGTTCTCCTAACGTTGGGGCCATTTAGAATGGTTTAACTTGTTGTGGTGACCCTCGGCCATACAATTATTTGTTGATACTTTATACCTATATTTTTGCTAATGTTATGAATCGTAACGTATATGTCTAATATACAGGATATCTGATATGTGATCCCCAAAGGGACTGTAGCTCACAAGTTGAGAATCACTGGCTTAAAACTATTTATTTGAAGCATTAGATATTAGCGTTCAAAGCCCCCAAATTGAGTTTGTTTGTATATAATCTAGTCATTAATATTGCTGTATAAGCTCTTAGGGATCCATTCTAAAATGAAATTAAATAAAAATATTGTCAAGATAAAGTATAAATGATTAAACATGAGCTGTTGTGGTTGAGCATTAATCTAACACTAATACAATCAACTAAAGGTCTTTATTGGCTGTATTCATTGGTTGACATCTTGATGAATTTGGTGAATAACTAGAAGATTTTACATCTAGAGCATGCATGTAATAGTAAATATTTCAATAGTAAATATTTAAATCTTTATCTACTTCCTGGAGGGTACGTCTGCCAAGCCTTAAAAACACATATAATCTAAAATTGCTCCCTTTTGCTAGAACTTTTTGTTCTTTCCATGGTCAAAATTTTTAGACAGTTTCCTTGAGCATAGTTTTTTAATTTTTTTTTTCATTGATTGCAGTATTGAGAATTGATCCTAGGGGGTCTCACTCATACTCAACAAGGGCCTTTCCAATGAGCTACATCCCTATTGTGACATACTTCTCCTGTGTAACCTCTTCCTTTGTATACCTCTTCACTATTGATTTAGTTCCCCTTTCCAGAGAAATCTCACTTTCAGAGTTTATCAGCAATCTTTTTTGTTACAAAGTCTAAATTATTTTTATACAGCGTGTTCATTTTTATATTGTCTTCAACTAGAAACTCTTTCTTTGGCTTTTGAACTTAATCTTAGTCAAAAAACTAAAAGAATGGTGCTTCGTTCACTGGCTTCTGATTGTCTTTTATTATTTTTCTCCTATTGTATTCATTTTTACTTATATTTTCTTGTACACCTTTCTGTGCACTTAGGTTTTTCCACTGTTTCTTTTTAAAGTTTGATTTGTTTTCATGATTTTGTAACAGCTAGGTTGATGATAGTGTAATACAAATTTTCAGGTCTACTTCTGATCTTCTAAATCCTATTAAAATGCTTAGATAACTATTAATTACTACTACAGATCCCTCAAATAGAAATAGAACCCATCATATTTTCCTCATAAACACTCTTCTACTTTCCACCTTCCCAAATCATAATATTCTCCCACTTACATTTAATTATTTTCCTTTATTCCTTCTGTGAAGTCAATTATCAAGTTCTTCTGGATTTTCCTTTCTACATGTTCTTATGCTTTTTGCTTATTCAACAAACTAGTTTAATCCAGAACTAGCACAATATACAAAGCTCTCACCAGCATTTGCACTGTGCCTCCTGCATTACACTAAATATAAATTTAAGGTTTCTTTTTCTGTTGTTGTTGTCTTACTGCGTGTTCTAATATTCCAAATAATCAAATACCTTACCTTTCTCTGTCAAGACCTTCCTGTTAAAATCTTAGTTTCCAAGGTTTAGGATTTTAGATTTAACATTTGTTCCCTTCTGATAGATGATTTTGATCCTTTTCGTTCATTTAAGGCTATATAACATATACAGTTCACTCTACAGGGCATGAAAATTTACTAAAGTTTACACAATTCATACTTGCACTAAAATGGCTTTGAAGCCCAGTCAATGAAAAAGGAGAATAGAGACTACCCCATCTCAGCTTTTCGCTCAATTATTTCTGTTTAAAATTTCTTTCTTTTTATTTGTTGCCTTTAGACAGCATGAATATGGTGAAATGCAAGCCATCAGTCTAAATCTAAATCTAAATATCTACTTTCCTGGCTGTACAATGTTGTAATACTAAATGATGCTGGAGGAAATAGTAAATTGATTTGATGCAAATTCTTGGTCTCTAATCTTAACTTGTGTTCAAAGTTACCTAGTAACATTTCTTCCTCTCCTTATAAAAACTATTTTAAGCCTTCTCCACTGTCTTGTTATCACTACCCATCTGTTTCTTCATTTAACTTATTCGCCTCATGCTGCGTGGTACTTCTAAGAGAATCCCTCCAATTTTCTTGCATGCCACCTCTAATCATACTTGCTCATCACTTTCCTCCTCCTTTCCACCTTTCTGCAGAACTCTATGGAGGAAATGGCCACCTCTGGTATAAAAAGCTGTTAACACTAATATGTATATATTCCATGGGTTATTGATCCTACTGCACGTACTGGCTTTGTGGGAGCCTAGGCAGTTTGGATGCTCACCTTACTAGACCTGGATGGAGGTGGGTGGTCCTTGGACTTCCCACAGGGCAGGGAACCCTGATTGCTCTTTGGGCTGATGAGAGAGGGGGACTTGATAGGGGGAGGGGGAGGGAAAGGGAAGGCGGCGGTGGGGAAGAGACAGAAATCTTTAATAAATAAATAAATAAATAAATAAATAAATAAATAAATAAGCTGTTAACACACATATTCTCCAAATCTTGACCTCTCAGAGTTGTCACATGAGGATTGCCACTTGAGGTGTTTCGAGCTCACCCCAAGTGCTCTCTCATGATCACTGTTTATCTTGCTTGTCTCCCAGCTTTAACCTTACCCTCTCCAGTAGTTCTTTCCAATAATGAATGAAATTTCATTCTTTCCAGTAATGAAAAATGTTGTTTTCATGTTAAAAATAA